GGCAATGGAGAACAGATGATGCAAATTTAAGCAGCTGAATACACGCGTGTCTTTTAAAGAGACTGCTTATTGGAAAATTGCAGGCTACGCAGCGCTGATGTGGATGTGCCTTGCTTTACATGCAGGGCGTCACCAAACCACCCATAATGAGTGCTAATGACAGGGTGGAGCTGACAGCATGATTAGTTAATTAGCAAGCAAACCACCATGAACCCAAACATCCCAAAACCCAAAGCAAAATATCCTCTCCCAAATTGGAGGAATTCCAACTATCTGCCACTTTGGGTACAGAGTGGCTTTGAGACATTGCCAAGTGTTGTGTGGCAAGCAGATTTCTCTGGAGAATGCTGTATGAGTCCTCAGTAACACTGGAATCCTGGTGTGGCACTGTAGGCTCAGTACTGTACTGCTAACCACAAGGCCGATGGTTCAAACCCACCAGCCGTTCCTGGGAAACCCTGTCAGTGTAGCTATAAATCAGAACCAATTCGATGGCACACAACAACAACAACAACAACAATCCTCATAGTCAGGAACCCTGGTAGCACAATGGTTAAGCAGTTGGCTGCCAACCAAAAGGTCAGTGGTTCAAAACCGCCATCAGCTCCGCAGACGAAAAGACCTAGTGATCTGCTACCATACAGATCACTGTTGTTGTTAATTACCATTGAGTTGGTTCAGACTCATAGCGAAACTATATGGGGTTCCCAAGGAGCAGCTGGGGATTTGAACTGCTGACCTTGCAGTTCGAACTGACCTTTTGGTCCATTGCTTATCTTACAGTCTTGGGAAGCCCTATGGGGCAGTTCTACTCTGTCCTGTAAGGTTGTTATGACACACAATAACTACCCAGGTAGGAACAGTACAACTGTTACTGTAGTGTTTGCTCACTCTTTCCCAGGTAGGTAGGTTGAGGAAGAAATGCTATGGCTAGGGCTGCTGAATCAAGGGCCCCTAAATCTGAAATAAATGGTGTCAACAATGATCTTGTTATTTGACACACAACTTTGTGTGAAAAGATATTTAGAAGTTTGTCTGGTGGAATCTGAACTGCTACCAGCTGTTCAGAAGTGAAAGTGAGGACAGTCTTGCTGAACAACACAGAACCAGCCACGTGGTGTTTGTGGCTCCAGCCGCAGCCTCACAGCTGGGTACAAGGGTGGTGGGCAAAAGTGTTGAAGACTGGGTGGCAGTGGAGGGTGGTGGTGGTAGTTGGACAGAGCCTAGAGGTGTGTGTAGGGTAGAGAGAAAGGAATTCCTGTGTCAAATCCAAGTGCTCTTGCAAGTAGGCAAGTATGGGGAGGAGAAAGCCCAATCAATTCCTGGGCATTGATAATGGAGCAAAGAATACAGAAGCGGACAAAGGCCAACAGTTAAGTTTCCACCTTGCCCTAGGTGTCGTCTCAGGCTAGTCTCCCCCACAACGCTTCCTTCCTGGTCCACTGGCTGGAGGATGGGGTGGCTGGTGGCTGATGTAGTTTCTGAGTGTTAAAATTCCTTGAGTCCTTGTTCCCAAGCACCTAAATTCAACTGATAAAGTTTCAGGCAAAATTCATGGTGAGGAGGAAAAGTTAAAGTGTCCTTGTGGGGTAGGAACCTTTGGGCCAATTCAATGTGGTTCCTACTATTGAATGCATAATTGGTCTTGGTATTTTTACAATCTTGTTTCAATAACCTCATACGCATGTGAAAGCTGGACAGTGAATAAGGAAGACCGTAGAAGAATTGATGCTTTTGAGTTATGGTGTTGGAGGAGAATATTGAAAGTGCCATGGGCTACCAAAAGAACCAACAGATCTATGTTGGAAGAAGTGCAGCCAGGGTGCTCCTTGGAGGCATGGATGACCAAACTTCGTCTCTCATACTTCAGTCGTATTGTCAGGAGAGACTAGTTGCTGGAGAAGGATACCATGTTTGGTAAGGTGGAGGGTCAGAGAAAAAGAGGAAGACCCCCAACGAGATGGATTGGCCAAGTAGCAGCATCAATGGGCTCAAGCGTGGCAACTATAGTGAGGTTGGCCCAGGACTGGGCAGTGTTTCGTTCTATTGTGTATAGGGTAGCTATGAGTCAGTACTGACTCGATGGCACCTAACAACAACAAACAACTATGAAATAGGGAGTCCTGGAGTGGTGCTGATGGATAAACACTGTACTGCTAACCTCAAGGCTGGCAGTTCCAACCCACCAGCTGCATTCTGGAAACTCTGCATTGTTGTTGTTAAAAGCCATTGAGTTGGTTCAGACTCATAGCGACCCTGTATAGGCTTTCTAAGGAGCAGCTGGTGGATTGGAACTGCTGACCTAGCGGTTAACAGTCCAGTGCTAATTCTCCAGCGTCAGAGGGTCTCTATGACAACAACAACTGTGAATGCCTCAAAAGTATCAGAGGATGCTTTCCCCATTCAGGCATCCTCACGTATGTTGTCTTCTCCACGTTTATCTCCAGGAACTATTTAGAATCACAGAAGGAGGAAGTAAAATCACCCTGTTTAAACTTAATGGCTGCCAGTGTGCTCAGAGAAGCCATTTCTCAGTATAGTAGCGCCACCTGGAGGACGAAGCCACCAAGCACATCCCTTTTCAAAAGGGCAGCTGCTTCCCTGGGGAGCAGCCCTCCTACTGCAGCTGCTAACTGAAAGGTCAGTTTCAATCCACCAGTCGCTTAATGGGAGAAAAGATCTGATGATCTGCTCCCGTGAACATTACAACCTAGAAAACCTTGTATGGGCCATGCTACTGGACTGTGAGCTACAAAGTCAGCAGTTCAAACCCACCAGGTGCTCCTTGGAAATGCTATACAGGGCTGCTATGAGTCGGAACTGACTTAATAGCACTTAACAACAACAACCATATTCTGGGGTCATGAAAATGGTTGGTGTTCAACTGTCCTGGTGTGGTAAAGTAGGATAAGCACTGGACTGCTAACCTCAAGGTTGATGATTCAAACTCACCAGTCGCTCCTTGGAAACCCTATACAGGGTCGCTATGAGTTGGAACCGGCCTGATGGCCCTTAAGAACAACTACTACTAACTAGAAAGGAGCTCTGGTAGCGTCGTGCTTACAAGTCCGGCTGCTAACCTCAACGTCAGCAGTTTGAAACTACCAGCCTTTCCATGGGAGAAAGATGAGGCTTTCTTTTCCCATAAAGATTTACAGCCTCCGAAGCCCTAGTTGGCACAGACTCAAAGGCACTTAGCCAGTTCTTGTTGGGGGGCATTTGCACTTTAGTTGTAATACTTTTGCCTGGTGTGGCGCTGTGGGCTAATGCGTCAGACTGCATAGTCATTTGAACTGTAAGGTCGGTGGTTCAAGCTCACCAGCTGCTCCTTGGAAGCTCTGTATAGGGCTATGGGTCAGAATGGACTCGACAGCACTTCACAACAACAACAGAATACTCACCAATACTTTCTCTCTTCTCAGTGGTGCTGTAACAGTGATGCGGCAGATTTAGCCTTATGGTGGGTTTATAATTACCAGGGAGACTTAGTGGTTAATACACTTTCTAGATTGAGTAATACTGATAACCACAGTACCATGTTCCGCTCTGTCTCCCCTTCCCCCCAGCCACACACAGTTCTGGCTCAGTCTCCTGATGGGGAGTGGTCAGTATCTGTGTCCTGCTCATTAGAAGCGAGGATGGCGTCGAGACTTCAGCTCCATTACTCTGGATATCTCATCAGGAGAGAACAATTGCTAGAAAAGCACATCTTGTTTCATAAAGTACATGGTCATCAAACCCCAGGGAAATGGTCCATGCGATGGCTGGCTTGATTAGTAGGTAGTTAGTAAAGGAAAAGACGGGGTCTCAAGTCCCTCTAAGTATGGCCAGTCTCAGCATGAAATAAGCCAATTTTCAGTAGTGAGGAATTTCTGAAGAGGGGTGGGAGAGAGAGGACACTGTTTGCAAGAGGAAATGAAGTTAGCTAATAATAAGTTGAAACCTGAAAGATTCAAGGAAACAGTATGTGGACCAATTCCCCAGATTGATTGTTTGGGCTTTTGAACCAGGAGTAGAGCTCATTCCCCTGACAAAGGGCTATATAAAGAAGAAGTCTAATTATGTTTGGGCTCCACCTCTTCTCCTTTCCCTAGGTGGACGCCTACGCTTACCTCTCTGTAAGGACGTCTGTGCTAATAAAACCAATCTTTCATTTCCCTAAGCCTCTTGTCTCTCTAACTCCTTTTGCGCGAGTGTGTTAGGCCTTCCCAAGTCTTTGGAAGGACAGCAGCATGTTCCAGGGACAATTCAACCACGACATGATGGCTGCAACACTGGACTCTCACCACTGGGAGGGAGAGTGCCAAAGGACCTGGTCATGTTTCATTCTGTGATACACAAGGTTGCCAGGACTCAGCCAATTGGACAGCAACTAAAAATAATAAAGGCAGGGGGAGTTTGGGGTCCCCAGAGGTTGGCAACTTGGAGGGTGATATTTGAGCCCCTCACAGAAAGAATGTGGTGTCCACAGCCAGTGCTTTGGGGTCTCAGTGGACCTGTTTATTGACCCATAGCTTTTTTGTCCCAGCTCCATTCTGAGAAGCTCACCCTGGAGAAGGTAGGGGCAACACTGACCTACTTTGGTGGGTGGGATGATTGGGATTTGAAGAGAAAACTTGGATCTCCAGGGTAAATGATGAAATTGGGTCCCGGAAACAGCTGTAAGACTCATCCCCATCAGGCCAAAGGGAGGTGCTACTAGGAAAAAGGGACCCCTAACTCCAGTCCCATGAGTGGTTGAGTTGATTTCTTTTGAGTTCTCTGGTCCCAGAGCAGACTGCTCCTCTTAGAAGAACTCCACTTGGGGAGGAAACAATTCCCCAGCTGAACATTTTCTTCCTAGGCCAAATGAGTGATGCCAGCAGTTGCTAGGCAGGTTTTCTGGGTGACTTTCCCTTCCTTTCTGGCAGAACCAATTATTCCTGTAGCAAAATGGGCACAAACACCACAGGTTATTGGATACATTTGCAGCCTTGGAAAAAATGGGTGATATCGCCGGCTTACTGAGCAGCATTTTTGTGCAGATCTCCTTCCATGTCCTCCTCATGTAGGTCACTGTTGTCCACCATCGTGCTGGACGGAGTAACTTTCCTCAACTGGGTTAGGCTGAAACTTCTTGTGGACAGCAAAGAGTTAACTTTAGGCAGACTGAACCAGGAAGAGCTCAGACTGCTCCTTGGGGAGGGCAAGCTGAACTTCCATAAGGAACTCGGGTCCAGCTCCAGTATTGAGTCCTTGCTGGCCATGTCCTGGGAAAGCCTCAAGGCCTGCATCTGCCATGACAAGCATTTTGGGACCATCTTTTTGACGGGCAGTGTTGTTTCAGTGGGATCAGAGGAAGTGGAGTCCTTGAGATTCAACCAGTGGTGGAGTGGGAAGACTGAGATTGGGAGGAAGCTGAAGATGAGAAGGAAGGTGAGCCAGTTCAGGGAGCTTGGCAAGTAGGGCTCTTTGACCTCATAGCTCTGGGGGCAAAGAGAGGGGAAGGGAAGGGTGGGAGGAAGAGATGGTGAGGTGGGGGTCAGTCTACATGATGCTGCATATCAGGTTCCCCAGGGGCTGGGAAGCTGGTGAAGGGGTTCTAGGGTGGTGGGAGCCCAGACCAAGGGTTATGTGAAGTGACAGATTTGATCAGGGGGTAGGAAATCGAGGTGGGGGACTCTTACTCCGCTGGCATTCCAGGCAATGTAGTGGGGGCGGTGTCCCTTCTGGTAGAGTTGTATGAAGTAGATGGTGAGAAGGACCAGCAGTCCTGGCAAGGTCACGTAGCACCACAGGAAAGTGAACATGGACCACACCAGGCGGCCCAGCTTAAGAAACAGTTCTTCTCGGAACCTGGGATAGGAGTGGCCACAGGGGCTTGGAGTCCTTGGGAGGTAGGGCTGGCCAGCTATTTGCCTGAGTTCGTTTGGTTTTCTTGAGTTCCCAACTCTTAGGGAATTGAGAGGATTCACCAGATCCTCATCTAGCCTCCCCTAAGGGAACTCCCTGATCCTTGATGTGGTCCTCCATCTGCAATTACGCTGCCCCATCCCTCGGCCATCAGACTAGCCCACTGGCCATTATTAGGGGAACCAGAGTTCCCTAGGCCCCCACTGCTGGCTTCCCAGAAGTCACTCTGCTTCTTAACAGTTGCTTTCTCCTATACTCCAGCCTCTCCCAGATGGACCTCCTTGCTGAGGAGTGAGCAGAGGGAGTGAATCAAACCCCATCCCTCCTCATAAGTTTTGGATTTATGGAGTTCCCAGTTGGGCAGACTCCAGAGCTTGGAAATCACCTTCTGGCTCCATAGATCCAGGCCAGGGACACATTCTGGAAGGTCACAATGATGACAAGGATCAGTGGGACCAGGTGTTCATCAAACAAAGACATGATATAGCTTCCAGGGCGACTGGCGAAGACCAGACTGCCCAGAAGACCTCCCAGGCAGATGACCACTAAGGTAGAGGAAGGGTTGGCCACATTGAAGTTCATGTGTAGGGTTGGGAAAGGGGTCAAAGTGAGCCCAGGTGACGGGATAAGCTGGGAAGGGGATGGGGTGTGACAGGGCAGGGTTTTTGCTGGGATCAGAGTCAGTGGTACCTGATAGCAGCTTGGGGTGTTTTCTGAAGACTGGAAGAGCGTTCTGGAGGGGAATGGAGACGCCTTCCAAGATCTTCATTAAGTTGCTCAGCCCCATGATAAACAGGTTCAGGAAGAAGATGATGGCCCAGAAGGAGGACCCAGGGAACAAAGAGATGATTTGGGAGAATGCCACAAATACCAGGCCAGGCCCTTCCATCAACTGTGGGAGAGAAGGCTTCTGAGGTAGTGTCGGGTCTGGATTGGTCTGTGTATATGTGTAAATGGTGCTGTAATTGATTAGCAATGTCTGTCTTGGGCAGAGAAGAGGAGCAGCTGGGTATTTGCTCTCCTTGGTTTTGTTCACTAAGTGACCTTTACCTTTTGGGACCTCAGTTTTCTACTCTAACAAATAGGGACCTTAGGATTGCTGTTGAGAATTGATATAGAACAACAAGTTAGTAATGGCCCTGGCATTTAGGAAATTGTGCAAAACCCCCATAATTATGACTTCTACCAGTTGTAGAAGGTGCTTACGTGGTTCACAAGGCTGCTGGAAAGCACATTTCCCAGTGCTCTCTGGAGACCTTGGGAAGCATCTTTTGACACCCCCACCAACACACCTTTTCCTTTTGTATCTTGATGCTGCAGGAAGCAGTGAAGTGGATGATCCTGTACTGAAGGCGTCTGGGGAGTTTGCTGACCCAATCTAGGTAGTCCATACTTTGCAGGAGCAGGATTTTTTCTGGGGGTGTGGCTTCCTGAGGCAGGACCCCTTTAGCTGTCAGATCCATTAGGTTGGAGATGCTCCTGAAGGGGAAGTATAAAAGAGAAGGAAATGGTGGGGAACAAGGATTTTCTGCTCTCTGCAAACCAGGGAACCCAAGGACTGGAGAGGGAATGATTTGTCCGAGCTGCCTCTAGTTGAGCAGCAAGGACACTGGACAGCAAGAGAGAGAGAATCAAATAGCCACATTGGAGACTCTGTCCAAGGCGCCAGGACTTTATGTTTGTAGTAGCTGGCCTGGCTCAGAATTTTCTCTCTTTGAATTTCAAGTGAAGAGTGAATATATTTTTCTCACGTAGTCACTCTTAGCAGGGCAAAGTCTTTAATTTCATTTACGTTTGTCTTCCTTCATCTCTGAATTTCATTCTTTCCCTGATTTCTACAGCTACCTAATTTCATGTGTTTGATATGGGTGCTTCTTTGTGGAAAAAAAAAAAAAAATTATCGTGTGTATCAATAGTGATGTTGTGTGATAAATAAGTATTTTTAATATCCCCCACTCCATTATTATTATTATTTTAAAAAAGTATTTCCTAGCTGTTGTGGTGGTGGTAGTGTGCCGTGGTGTCAGTTCTGACTCATAGTGACCCTCCCTAGACAGGATTTCCTAGGCTGTAAATCTTAACAGATTTACAAAAGCAGAAAGCCTCATCTTTTTCCTGCAGAACAGCTGGTAGTTTTGAACTGCTGACCTTGAGGTTAGCAGCCCGACTAGTAATCACTACTCTACCAGAGCTCCTTATTTCTCATAGTACATATATGCTATATTTTATATTGGATTTCCCAATTAAGGATTTGACCTCTGTGATCACATCGTTATAATGATCAGCAATTTAAAGGGTTTGTTTGAGAACTTCTTTAAGACATACTTGGGCATGGGGTTACTGGACCGTAAAAGCATAAATACTTACTTGATTTAACTAAACATTACTAGATTCTCAGCTGTTTAAAAAAAATGATTGAGGTAAAAATATACAAAACAACATGTTTGCCATTTCAACAATTTTTACCATTGTACAATCCAATGATGTTGATGACATTCTTCAAGTTGTATAGCTGTTCTCACGAATCTTTTCCAAACCACTCCCTCATCATCCACATAAACTCACTGCTCCCCCTGAAATACTCCTCATTTTCCCTTCCACTCCTGTAGCCACTAATGATCCTTGGTTTCAAAGCTACAACTATGATTATGAATTGATCTGTTTCTTTAGTTCTGAAAAAAATTAATATCTGGCCTTTTATTAGATATATAGTCATGTCAGCTTTCTTGATTTGTTGTTTGCTTGGTAAGTTTCTTTTTAAAGTTTTTATTGTGAACTGAGTGATAGTTTACATGGGAGAACAAAGGCTTTACACCATTGTTTCATTGCAATGATTACAATCTCCTTCTTGCGTCATCTTTCAACAGTGTTTGTTTCCATTCCGTGTTTTGTTTTGTTGAGAAGTTGTTTTTTATTCTCTTACTTTTAAGCTATCTGTGTCATAAAGGACATCTCTTGCAAACAGAATATAGTTGAGTCTTATATTAAACAACCTAGTCTAAGGGATGTTTATTTAATGTCATTATTGACATTTTAAGGAGCACTGGTAGGTAGCATAGTGGATTATGAACTGGGCTGTTAATCTCACTGTCGGTTCAGTTTGAAACTACCAGCTGTTTCACAGGAGAAAGATGAGGCTTTCTGCTCCAGTAAAGACTTACAGCCTTGGAAACCCTATACAAGGGTCAAAACTCACTCAGCGGCACACACCACCACCATTGATATTTTAAAGGTACTGGGTGGAGGCATGCCTGAACTCCATTCTATATGAATCGGCCTTGGGTTGCCTTTGAGTTTGGTTCTCAAAATCTTCCCTCTTGTGAAGTCAGAAGAAGTCAGACATGGTCCCCACTTGGTTTAAGCAGTTGGCACTGCTTACTTTTAATTAATTATTATTGCTTTTATTAATAGGTCTGGAGCAATGCCTCCAGACCTATGAAATGATGAGGTTTTGTAAGAGAAAGAATGCAGGGGCATGGGATAAAATATTTCAGCAGAGGGGAGAGCAGCACCTTCTGGAGTTGCTGACACGCTGGTTAAAAAGGATGGCTGATTATAGTGCCTGGGCCTACCGGAATCCACCAGGTCACAGGCCCAAGGCCATATGCATATGAATGGAATTAGTCTAAGGGAGAAGAAAACATTGAACTTGAGTGTTTTAAAAAAAAAGGTTTCTGTGTTAGACTGCTTTATGGATATTGGTTTCTCCTGTAAAATGGAGTCTTGCTGTGGCACTAAAGGACAATGCACTGGACCACAAGGTCAGTTTGGACCAAAAGGTCAGTGGTTCAAACTCACCAGCCACTCCTTGGAAACCCTGTACAGGCACTTGACAACCTTGATATGGCTCAATTTATATTTACTCTCTTGCTGTTGGTTTTTTTTTGTCTCATCTTAGTCCATGTTCTTCCTTTTCAAAAATAATCAACAAATGTTTTATAGATTCTATTTTATCTTCTTGATTGTCTTTTTAGGTATATATCTGTCTTGTTTTGTCTTTGGTGATTAGAGCTGTGCTGCTCACTACAGTAGACATTAATAACATGTGGTTACTGATTTCTTGCAATATGGTTGAGGAACTGAATTTAAATTGTATTCAATTTTAATTAGCTTAAAAATAAAAATATAGATTATTAAGTCACTGAAGAGCTCTTGAGCATGTTTGCAGTAACTTGGGTATGTGAAATTACTTTTTCAACTGCATATATCTTTGAAATGTAAATACATATAAAGTATTCCCTTTCAGTCTCAAGAATTTCCTTTAGTGTTCCTTTTGGTACAGAATCACTGGTAGTGAATTCTCTATTTTATGTAGAAATGTCTTATTTCACTGTAGCTATTTAAAGACATTTTTGCTAAATATGGAACTCGAGGTTGTCAGATCTTTTCCTTTAGCAGTCTAAAAGATTTCATTCAACATTCTAAAAGAATTCTGATTCCCATTGTTTCTGATGAGAAGTGAGTCATCATTTTATCACTGTTCCGCTATATGCAATAAAATAAATAAAATTTAATAAATATAAAAATGTTTTTGTTGTTAAGCGCCGTCGAGTCGTATCTGAACCATAGCAACCCTATACAGGGTTTCTGAGGAGCGAATGGTGAGCTTGAACCACCGACCTTGCAGTTCAAATGGCTTTGCTGTCTGGTGCATTAACCCACATGCCACACAAATATGGTTAAATAAAAATAAGAAAAAAATTTTCTGATTACTTTAGACATTTTTGTTTATCTTTGGAAGGTACGGTTGGCCTGCTAATCAAAAGGTTGGTGATTTGAGCCCACCAGCTGATTCTTGGAAGAAAGATGAGGCACTTTGCTTTTGTAAAGTAAAGGTTTCTAGTGGAAACCTGGAAACCCTATGGGGTAGCTCTACTCTGTGCTGTAGGGTTGGTGTGAGTTAGAATGGACTCAGTGCCAGTGTTTTGTTTTGTTTTCCCCCCCAAGTTTATCTTTTGATTTCAGAAATTTGACTATGGTGTGTCAAGGTGAGATCATCTTTATATTTATCATTTTGGGATTTCTTGAGCTTCTAGGATATGTGGGTTGATGCTTTCCATTCAATTTGGAAGAAAAATACAAAAAAAAAAAAAAAAAAAAAAAAAATAAAAAAAAAGAAAAATCTGCAAATTTGTCTCTCACCTTTTGTGACTCCAATGATATACATATTGGTAT